TTACTACTATTATCATTATCATTATTGCTATTATTGTTATTATTGTTATCATTATGACTATCATTATCCCCATTAGTATTAAAATCAAAATTATTATTACTGTCATCATCATTATTATCATTACCATTATCATTTTTATTATAATTATCTTCATTATTATTAGTCATTATCATCAACGTTATCACTTTTATTTTTTGTCATTATCATTATCATCGTTATAATTACGTTTGTTAATATTTTAACCATTATTATCATCATTAATCTCGTTGTCATTATCGGTGTTGTATCTGTTATCATTATCACCATTATTATCATTATGATTATAATATTTCACTATCACTGTCATTATTTTTGTTGATATTATTATCATGATTATCGTAATTTTTGTCAATTTTAGGATTTTATTGTTATCATCATCAACATCATTATTACATTTGACGCTTAACATAATTAGCATCATAAATGAAAATACTAGAAATGATTATAACCGCTATAAAAAGAAAGATGAGACTATCAATAGCAATTAATATCATTCTTACTTCTATTATCAGAAAAAAACTACATCGGACTGCTTCTTCTTCGTGAAAAAAAAACAAGAAAAAAACGTAAACATTTATTAACCGTAATTACGTTTTACGCTCGTCTTCCCTACCCTACCACACCCTACCCTCCTACCCCATACCCTCTACCCTCCTACCCGACCCTCCTACCCTACCCTCTACCCCTCTACACCCATACACCCTCCTACCCCATACCCTACCCTCCTACCCTACCCTACCCGGATTACCCTCCTACCCTCCCTACCCCTACCCCATACCCTCCACCCTCCTACCCCATACCCTCTACCCTCCACCCCACCCCATACCCTCTACCCTCCTACCCCATACCCTACCCTACCCTCTACCCTCCTACCGCCTACGACCCTACCACCCCTCCTACCCCATACCCTCTACCCACCCGCCTCCTACCCTCTATACCCTACCCTACCACCCTACCCCCCTACCATACCCTCTCCTACCCCATACCCTCACCCTACCCTACACCCTCCTACCCCGACCACCCTACCTACCCTACCTCCCTACCCTACCCCATACCCTACCCTACCCTCCTACGGCCTACCCATACCCTCCTAGCCCTACCCTACCTCTCTACCCCATACCCTCTACCCTCCTACCCCATACCCTCTACCCTCCTACCCTACCCACCCCACCCTACCCTACCCTCCTACCCTACCCTCTACCCTCCTACCCTACCCTCTACCCTCCTACCCATACCCTACCCTCCTACCCCATACCCTCACCACTACCCTCTACCCTCTACCCTCACCCTCTACCCTACCCCATACCCTACCACCCCATACCCTCTACCCTCCTACCCCATACCCTCTACCCGCCCTACCCTCCTATACCCTCTACCCTCCTACCCCATACCCTCTACCCTCCTACCCCATACCCTCTACCCTCCTACCCTACACCCTCCTACCCCATACCACCCTCCTACCCCATCCCTCTACCCTCCTACCCCCGGGTACTCCCCCTGGAGGAAGAGTTAGCGCTATGACGGAGCGGTGATGACGTGTCACCCCCCCTCCCCCCCTCCCCACCTCCCCCACCCGAGAGACGAGCCACGTTATCTCTCCTCTTCTACTTCTTCCCCTTATTTTCCTTCTAATCCTTCTTCTCCGCTTTCTTCTCCTTCTTCTTTCCATTCATCTCCCTTTTTTCCTTCTTCCCTATTCTTTTCTTCTACTCCTTCTTCTTCTTCCCCTTTTCTTCTTCTCCTTTTTCCATTCCTCTCCCTGTTCTCCTTTTCTTTCTTCTCCTTCTTCTTCTTCTTCCCTTACTTTCTTCCCATTCCTCTCCCTTTTCTCCTTCTCCCCTTC